ATGATGGCAACGTATAAAAATATGCTCGATACAATAGATGTATGGATCATTATAAGAGTTGTAAGAGCCCCCAATAAAATGATCTTTTAATTAAAAAATAAAAGAGACTAGATTCTCCCCTCCAGCGTCTTTGACTTGGGCCTCGGTGACAGTCATGCTGGATTTGTGGCCTCCAGAACCGGAAGATGCTAACTGCTTGCTGCAAAACTTAAACTACTTATCAATTGACCCTTCACTGGGCAGGCTTGCCACACTCCCATGTGCACTCGCTGGCTAGTGTTTTCCTGCGGGCCAGCCTCCAGGCAAAGCTGAGGGCATCTGAACGGACTTTCTGCGATGAGCACTACTTCCGGTCCCTATGTTGAAGGTGGGAAAATCAGAGCAGGGAGGTGAAGCAACTGCTGCAGGTCACCCACCGCATGGGGCACATCAGGCAGGATCCTGCATTGCCTTCACCCTTGGGCACTGGCTGCACCTTATGGAAGGGAGCCAACAACCAGAGCTCACCTGCGGCATCTGATCGCCGGCGGAAGGCAATGGGGAGCTCTCGGCTGGGCACCAGGAGGCCCAGGTGCAGCATCTCCACGGGCTCCTGGTCGGTGGCTACCAGGTCGTATTTGCGGACGATCTGGAATGCAAGTGCACACACAAGCACAGTCAGCCCTCCATCCTCTGGCCTGGTTCTGACCCAGCACAGAAAAGCAGGCAGAGGGTCTTACCCAGCACAGAGCCAAGTGCAGCTGGAGTTCGGCCAATCGGGCGTTCATTCCTGCAGTAGAGGCTGGAGCATCATTCTTGCGAGAAAGTAAAATTCACTGTTCACGGTCTCTCCTCAAAGCTCTGAAAATAAAGCGTACCCCCGTTAGACATCAAAGAAATGTCATGGTGGCCCAAACCATGAGTGTTCCTGCTAATAAAAGTTAAAACCAAAATAGGGCTGGTTCACCATGATAAAGAGACCCCACGGTCTTCCCTGCTCTAAGGCAAGGGTTTTCTAAAAAGCCACACCCCCCAGAACATGCCTGATCTCCTCTAAAAAGCTAGAATCCCCTTGCTACCCTGCCCAGCCCCACTCTGTCTTGGGAGGGGGTTCAAATGTTTACAGCTTTCCTAATGATACCAGACACTTGTATTCATTCGGAGTTTATGCGGGAATTTCATCTATTCACTCTTGATTTTCTAAAGCACCCCACTTGTCAGTCAAAAACCACTTCCAAACAAGCCCCCCGCCATGCAGTCCATTTTGGTCCATCGCGATCCCGGAGGGTTTCTGAGGCAATAAAGTTTCACAGAAAAGATGAGGCTGTCTGCCCTTGTACACAATTACAACCTCAGAAACCCACAGGACTCATTCTCCTCTGCCCGTGTAGTAGCTCTGATCAGAACAGACTCCATGGCCGTGAGTTTGATTTTGGTTTTGTCACCATTATTGTTTAATATCAATAGATAGAGAAAAATGGATAGGGTCACACACATAGATGCGAGGATTTGGCAAATCAAGAGCCTGAGACCAAATATGGCTCATAGTCTGTTTCTATCGATAAAGTTTTATGGGAACACAATGGCGGCGGACAGAATAACCTCCCCTGAACACATCCAGGTGCTCACCCCCAGAGCCCCTGAGCACACTCCCTCACATGGAAATGGTGAGTAAGTGAATGAGCCCTGATGGGAGATTATCCTGACAGAGGGACAGAAGGAGTGGGTGCAGAGATTGGAAGGGGTCCCTCAAGATGGAGAAGGGCCATCAACCAAAGGTTCTCGGCAGGCTACAGGAGCTGGGCCCCGGCCTTCACCAGTAGACGCCGAGAGAAGAGAGACCTGCCTCCTGCAATCACAGGAACTAGAGTCTGTGACCCTTTCAGAGTGCTCCTCAGAAGCAAGGGCAACGAGACTTTGTCTCACCAACTTCGGGCACGTTGTCAGGAAAGGCTAGTCCCTGGAGAGGGGCATCACGCTCGGTACGGGAGCAACAAAAAGGAGGAAGACCCTCGACGAGATGGATGGACACAATGGCTACAACAATGGGCTCAAACATAATAGATGGTGAGGCAGCCGCAGGGCCAGGTGGTGTTCTGTCTGTCGTACATCGGGTCACCATGAGTCAGCACCCATCTGATGGCATCTGACAACCACAACAGTCAGGGTTTCCCAAAGTGGGCGATACTGTGCCATGCTTGCGGGTGGGCACTGGAGCAATCCAGGGGGACTGCAAAAGCAGATCTCTACATGTGAGGCTGGATGATAGGCTCTCCTACAGGAGTTTGTCATTGCCGGGGTGGGTGGGTACTGTGGAGTCATAAGACTAGATTCTCAATGAGCAAAACCCATATTGTTGAGAGCAAGGGGGGTTGGAGCAGAGACCCAAAGCCCATCTGTAGACAATGGGACTTCCCCTCAGAGAGGGGTCACAGGGAAGGGATGAGTCAACCAGGGCACAGGATTGCACCAATGAATCACACAATATTCCTCTGGTTCCTTGAGGCTTCCTCACCCCCATCATGACCCTAGTCCTGCCTTTCACTGGTGTTAAACCAGAGCATGTTCACAGGTACAGATAAGAGATAAGAGCTCACCACACAACGAATCCAGCAACAGGAGTGGGTGTAGTGATACCAGAAGGGTAGGAGGGAGGTGGAAAAAGGAGAGGAGGAAGGGGGAACTGATTGCAATAATCAACACATAACCACACATCCCTCCTCCAGGACGAACTATAAAAACCATGGAGGAAGGGAGACAGGAGTTGGTGTGAGATGTGAAAGTAATAATAATGTATAATTTATCAAGGGGTCACGAGGTGGGGAGAGAGGGAGGGTAAAAAGAGGAGCTGATACCAAGGGCTCAATAGAAAGTAAATGTCTAGAAAAGAATGATGGCAACGTATAAAAATATGCTCGATACAATAGATGTATGGATCATTATAAGAGTTGTAAGAGCCCCCAATAAAATGATCTTTTAATTAAAAAATAAAAGAGACTAGATTCTCCCCTCCAGCGTCTTTGACTTGGGCCTCGGTGACAGTCATGCTGGATTTGTGGCCTCCAGAACCGGAAGATGCTAACTGCTTGCTGCAAAACTTAAACTACTTATCAATTGACCCTTCACTGGGCAGGCTTGCCACACTCCCATGTGCACTCGCTGGCTAGTGTTTTCCTGCGGGCCAGCCTCCAGGCAAAGCTGAGGGCATCTGAACGGACTTTCTGCGATGAGCACTACTTCCGGTCCCTATGTTGAAGGTGGGAAAATCAGAGCAGGGAGGTGAAGCAACTGCTGCAGGTCACCCACCGCATGGGGCACATCAGGCAGGATCCTGCATTGCCTTCACCCTTGGGCACTGGCTGCACCTTATGGAAGGGAGCCAACAACCAGAGCTCACCTGCGGCATCTGATCGCCGGCGGAAGGCAATGGGGAGCTCTCGGCTGGGCACCAGGAGGCCCAGGTGCAGCATCTCCACGGGCTCCTGGTCGGTGGCTACCAGGTCGTATTTGCGGACGATCTGGAATGCAAGTGCACACACAAGCACAGTCAGCCCTCCATCCTCTGGCCTGGTTCTGACCCAGCACAGAAAAGCAGGCAGAGGGTCTTACCCAGCACAGAGCCAAGTGCAGCTGGAGTTCGGCCAATCGGCGGCCGATGCACATCCGTTTCCCAATGCCAAATGGCAGATGGGCAAAGGGGTTGATCTTCTTCTTCTCCTCTTGAAGCCACCGCTCAGGTCTAAACTGACTGCAGTCTTCAAAATTGTCTTTATCGGACCCCAGAACCTGGGTGTTCAGCATCAACACAGTCTAGAAACACACAGACACACAGGGCGCTCACATCAGCCAGAGGCAGCGTCTGGACGGCCACGTTTTCCAAATATAAAAGTCCCCCACAGATTCATAACGTGCTGGCCCTCAAGCCGTATGGAGAACAAGTAACAAACAGACCCCAGATGAGAAGAAGATTCCATATCGTTTCCCACCACCTAGCCCTTCCCACTTCCATTTCACAGATGAGAGTGCCCAGGGATCTGTCACCCACTCCCAGGCTCCCTGTCTCCATAATCAGTGATCCCCAGTATAATGCTAAATAGCCAAGGGTGCTGCAAGCTTTATCTCCAATGTAAATGCTCTCCCAGTTTAAAAAAAAAAAAAAGGATGGTACAGGAAGGTCTGATGACCAGAACAGTACCTTCCCACCAGACCCACCCACAGCCATCGGTCAGTTCCAAGGCTGTAGATGTTTCCGGGAGCAGATAGCCTCCTCTTTCCACCAAGGATCAGCGGGTGGGTTCAAACAGCTGACCTTGCAGTTAGCAAGCAGCCCAATGCATAACCAGCTACTGCCACTGGGGCTCCTCTGTATGTTTCCAGAATAGTCAACTATACTTACCCCTTTAGGGAGCGCGTATTCGCCCAGAACCGTTGCTTTGTCAAGGGTCCGAGTCGTGAAAGGCACACTCGGGGTAAGCCTAAAGATTAAAAATAGATAAATAAACATTAAAAGGTCAAAGATATTCACAGACCACAGTCTAGCACTTATGTTGCTCTGAATGCAGACTCTGGTTAAATAAATGCTTGCTGCTTAAGTTTGTGCCCCCAAAGTACCCGGTGGCAGCTCTTCATAAACACATGCTGCCGCTACCATTTCATCTCACTGCATTGGCTAAGCCTCCACAATCTGAACTCGTGGCGACCCCGTGTGGTGCAGTGTAGAACTGCTCCACAGGGCTGGAATCTGGATGACAGCGGATCCCCGGCCTCCATCTCTCAGAACCAGGTGGGTGGGTTCAAACCTTAGCTTCAGGTTAGTAGCAAACCTAATTGCACGACTCTATGACCTAGACTGAGACTACCGGGCTGATGGGTGGTTAACCATGATGTTCCTCTGTCTCCGCTAGGCTTTTCACGTTTTCCCTGAAGCCTGATGTTGGTTCTAGGACTTCTTTGTTTATCTGCTCTTCATAAGGTGAAAGGGATCTATGATCTCCCTCTAGTACTATCCTTTCATCTGCTAAAAGAGCAACAATCTGGAAGAAGCGTGGCCAGGATGCTCCTTAGAAGCAAGGGCATGCTCTCAGGAGAGATCAGTCCTTGGAGAAGGACATCAGGCTGGGGTCAAGTGGAAGGGCAGGGAAAAGGAGGGATGCCCTTGTTGAGGAGGATGGACACAGGGGCTGCAAGCCTGGGCTCAATACCAATTGTGGGGATGGCCATCATCACAATGGTTACTACGTTGGCGCCCCCTGCGGCAGCTGCTATGTCGGTCCTTCAGTCTTGTTATTCCTACTGAACAGCGACTTTCCAAGACTTCATAGAACTTTTCCAAGTGACAGAAAACAAAAATGGTGCCTGGGTTCCTCCGTGCAGTTGGAGAAGTACGTATGCATCTACTGAGGGAGATGCCAGTGGGGGGAGGGGAGGGCATTGCATTGTGTCTCCTGGGGAACAATTTTCTTTCTAAAAGATTCCCGTCGATTGGGGGATATGTTCTCACCTCATCGACTCTTTCAGACAAGCTTTTAAATACGGCATGTTTTTCAAGTCCTCTGCTCGGGGCGCCCGGTTCTCAGGAAGCACACTTTGAATTTCTTTGCGAAGCGTTTGTTGCACGTGGGGGTTTCGGGATAAATTGTAGAGCATCCACATGAAGCTGTTTGCGGTCTGGAAACCAAACAGGTGGAGAGTGACACTTCTGCAGAAAGGCTGCCTTCAATCATTCTCAGCAGAGTAGAAGCACATGGCTAGCCCCTCCCTGTGCGAATCTCTGGGACCCTCTCCCAGGGACCCTCCTTCTCTGTGCCTGGAAGAAATCAGATCTTGTTACATTGGAAGAACTCCCCAGCTGCTCTTCGGGAGGAAGGACACGTTCTCTGCTCCCATGAAGACTGACAGCCTCAGGTGGATTAAGCATAAGGCATTTTTTGAGGGAAGCAAAATAAATTTATTTAGATAACCAGCCACACTGAGCATGGAGAATACAGTTCGAAATGAGACTAGTTTGAGCATAAATGGGTAACTGGTGAAATTTGGATTTGGCTGGCGCCTTGTACCCAATGCTGATATCTCCACTGTGTTATGACAAAGCCTTCAAAAAGTCGGTGGAGAAAATCCCATCTCTTGTCATTCCCTTTTCCCATGAACTTTTTGAGTCCCCCTCATACTGTACTGTAGTCACCAAGATATTACCACTAGGGAGTATCCCTGGGTGGCCCAGACCGTTGAGCACTGGAGTATGATCCAAAATGTTGGCAGTTCGAACCCACCCAGAGATGCCTGGGAAGTCTGGTGGAGAGATCTGCTTTTGAAAGGCTGATTGGTTGGCTCTGGACCCATCGTGATTGGATGTACAATGAAAGGAAGCGCTGCCTGTCCCTGTCACAGGGATCCTTCGTGCAGTTTGAGAAATGCATCTGATGCATCTACTGGGGGAGATGTCAATGGGTGGGGGTCCTCGGGAACAGTTCTTCTCTGATCAGCCTGAGGTCACCATGGGTAGCAATTGACCCAAAGGTAACAAACCACCACACAGAGACAACAAAGAATCTGGAATTCTTCTGGTTTCTAAACATCAAGATACTCCCCTGGGACTGGGTGGGGAGGGGGCTGGGAGGAGGGCACACAGAACTCCCCACTCTATGATCACTTCTTGGAACTGCATGGAAACCTACACTCATCTGAGAAACAAAAATGTGCAAGCAAGTATTGGAGTGGGCAGAGAAGGACTGAGAGGGGGTGGGGCCAACATGTTCCTTTGACCTTACAGTTGAGCAAGGGCCAGAAACTACATCACTCAAGTTTAAAAGAAAGAACCTTTTGCCCCATCCTCCCAAATTATCGGGAGAATCAAAAGGTCTCCTCGCCACATGGGACCCCAGCCACATGCAAAGAAACCTGGCAGAAGGATGCCGACTAGCCCGGATCAGACATTCCAGAATCCAGTTGAGAGTGCCAAGGAACCAGCCCCAACGGGCCTGTGTCCTTCTCGATGGCGGTCTCAATTTCCTCTCCAAGGGCAAAGGGACGCAAAGGCAATGGAAGCAGCCCCGTCTCTGCTAGCTCTGTGATGCTATTCCCCACTGCTTGTCGGACCCAATCATTTGTTTGGTGCTGGTTTAGCACGTTGGAACCAGCTCTTCCCCTGGAGCTAGCCAATGTACAGACACAAAGACATGTGCCACCGAAGGCCACCCAGCAGAGCTCGGGAGGAGCGGACTCAGTGAGACACAATACTGTTGGAAGAAGATGCCTGCAAGGCAGGCTTCTGAGTGTCCGGGGACCGGCAGCCTGGGCTTCGACTAAACCCTGGACGGACACCATGATGACAAGCGTGTCATTGACAAAACAGGAAGTGGGCACAGGCCAACAAATTAGATTCACTTCTCTATGCCTCTGATTTGCCAAAGGCGCCTTTCAAGAAGAGCCAGGACTAAACAAGAAAAAGATTTCCCTCTATCAAGGGGTCCTTCACCACAAGTGCCGAATCGCGTTTCCTGAACGCAGGTAACTGTAGCTTTCACCAAAGCCATGGAAGACCTTGTGGGCCCTGTTAGGATAGTGGGGGTTGGGGGTAGGGGTGGCTCCAGGGGAGAGTGGCCTGGGAAACCTCAGGAGCATAAGCTGTCCTGACTTGACCTCAGAGGAGGTAGCAGATCTTGTAACTGCCCTGCTGCTGCCACAAGTCCTTCCTCCACCCATAAATCCCATCAGGTCACGCCACTGCTTCAATCCCTCTGGGAGACTCCCTTGCAGGTGTAATAGAAACCAGATGTGTTCCCAAGGCCCTCACAGCCCTCATGAATGCCCCGGCATCTCCCATCTCAGCTCCTAACACACCTGGCCCTGGTCCTTGCTGCCCCAGCGTCTCTGGGGGTGTTCTCTCCTCGACCTTGGGCACACTCCGACTATACTGTCGTCCAGCTGGCTCCTGCTCTTCATTCCAGGTCAGCTCCATCATGCCTTCCTCAGAGGGAGAAGCTCCCTTCCATTCTCATTCCTCCCTCTTGCATCACCTCCAGGGCCAGCCCCACTCTCTGTGATGACCACATCAGTTTGTGTGTCTGGCTGCTTCTGTCTTCTCCACGATGTGGAAGTTCCCCGAGGGTGAGGAAAGACCTACGTTTCTGGTTCATGGTGGTCCTTCAAGTGCCTTGGACTTGTACATCTACACATACACCTTCACATGTGTCTACAGACATGGGCATGTATATATAGATACACTTGGAAGATAGCAGGCACTCAATAGTTGCTGAATTCTTTAACCAACTCTACAAATATTTATGGAACACTGATGGTATGCAGAGGAGCCCCGGTGGGATAGTAGGCTACACATGAAGAGGTTCAAACCCACCAGCTGCTCCTCAGGAGAAAGAAGAGGCTTTCTGCTCCTGTAAGATTGACAGTCTTAGAACTCTGAAGGGACGGTTCTCCTCTGCCCTCAAGGTTGCTGAGTTGGCATGGACTTAATGGCAGCGGGTTTGGGTTACGACGTGACAAGTCTTGTTCCAGGTTTGGGGACCATATCAGTGGACAACACTAAGAAGCCACTGCTTTCATGGGGCCCATGGCCCAGCCAGGAACAAGGAAAGGAGGGAAGGAGGGGAGAGGAAAAGGAGGAGAGAAAGTGTCCCTTCATCAGTCTAAGGGCCTCTTGGAAGAAGTGCGGCCAGAATGCTTCTCAGAAGTGAGGATGGCGAGACTTTGGGTGTCAGGAGTGACCAGTCCCTGGAGAAGGACCTCTCGCTTGGTAGAGTGGAAGGACAGCAAGAAAAGAGAGGGAGACCCTCGACGTGGTGGATCAACATGGTGGCTGCACAACGGGCTCACACACAACTACACTTGTGAAGAGGGGACAGGGCCAGCGGTGTTTCCTTCTGTTGTACACGGGGTTGCTATGGGTCGAGGCCGACTTGAGGACCCCCCCCCCCAACAAGGGTCTCTTGGGATTAAGAGACCCAACAGGAAAGTGCTCTACAATGAATCCACACTTTTGACAGCTTTTTGGAGCGAGAGGAAAAATAAGCACCTGACTAGTCCATGGCTTTTTCTCCAAACAAGAGACTCTGGAAAAAGACAAGAAAGCAATGGCTGGTCTACAAGGAAAGACGGCACTTCCCACTCCTATAAACAGTTACCATCTCAGAAACCCACCGGGGCAGTTCTACCCTGTCCTGCAGGGTCCCTGTGAGTCGGCATCGACTCGATGTTAGTGGATGTGGGTTTCTGGAGTTTGGAACCGTGTGAGATGTCAGGCCTATGGGGAATATTGGTAGGCATCCCTCCAGCGAGAACTCCGATGGAAACCGGGCCAAAGAAAGTCCAATCCATGCAGACCCTGACGTCAATCTTGGAGTTTGGGCTACACTAAGTAGCTAGGAGGACGTTCAACCACATTGGAGGTGGCCTTTTGATGTTTAAAACTAAATCGCTCCCTTAAAATTAAAATGGAGTTTTCCAAACGCTCTCTCGTGCCATCTTCAGCGGGGGACGGGAAAAGCATCAGCTTAGATTAGAAAGTATTTCAGAATTTTCATCGTCAGTCATGGACCAGGTTAGGCACTTTGTGGGAACATGCAATCACCTGAAACACGTCCTGTTTTTAAAAATTGAGAATGGTTGTCCTTGCAGGAAAGGCAACTTTCCTGACTCAGAATCCCCCAGCTGTTCCCAGGCTTCTCAGGGCACGTACTATCTCCAAGCTTGCATTTCCGGGTCCCCAGGTAGTGCGCAGACGCTGGATTGCTCGCTGAAAGGCTGGAGTGGGGAGCTCACCTACATGTACCGAGAAGTCAAGGTCTGGCGATCTTGTTTGCAAAAACCAGTCACTGAGAACTCTGGGGAACCCAGTTCCACTGTCACCCACGGTGGGGGTTGGTGGCATGACAACTGGTTCGGCTTTGGCTTGTTTTTGTTTTGCAGTTGGTACCTTAAGTCCGTATCTGCACGCCCATCAAGTTGGTTCCGACTCACAGCAACCCTATCCTGCAGACTAGAACTGCACTCTCCCTAGCTCTTAAGAGATGATAAATCTCTACAGGAGCAGAAGCCTTATCCTTCTCCCGTCGAGCCTCGGTTCAGTTTGAACTGCCAACCTGCCCTCTTGTTGGTTACCAATCCCATGCTTCAACCACGCCGCCGCCAGGACTCCCAGTCAGTGCAAAACAAACAAACAAGTCAACTCATTGCCACACAATCAGTTCTGATTCATGGTGACGCTACAGGGCGGAGTACAACTGCCCGGTGGGTGTCCAAGGCTGTAAATCTTTAGAGGAGCAGCAAGCCTCATCTTCGCCCCTGGAGCAGCTCGAGGGTTACAACTATTAACCTTGCACAGTGAGCAGCCCAAGACGTAACACACTCCGCCTCCTTTGAAGCAAGCACGATGAGACTCCGACTCACAAACTTGGGACATAGTGTCTGGAGAGACCAGCCGCTGGAGAAGGACACCGTGTGGGTCCGCAAAAAAGAGGAAGACCTGGGGCCAGATGGAGCGACCCGGGGGCTGCAGTGAGGGGCTCAAGCCATTGAGGGGACGCCGTAGTGGTTCATCGGGTTGTACATCAGGTCCCTAGGAGTCGGAACCGCAACAACAGACCACCAGGGCTGCCTGTCGTCAAGAGAGCACCCTAATTTTCCAAGCACCACGTGTTCAGGTCAAGGGCCGTGCTGTGGCTTCCCACAGCACCTCGGAGGCGCTGCTCCGCTTTTGCTAAGGGAATGCCTGTGGAAGGGGGTGTCCTGGCCGGCGGACGGACGCCTGGCGAAACCATTGTGCAGGCTCAGCAGCAAAGTGGCCTCCTCCTCTTACCGTTTCCACCGCCGCCAGCTGCAGCTCGGTGACGGCCGCATACAGTTCCTTCTTGGACAGGCGGCTGTGCTGATAGACCTCGGCGAGGAAGGCCGTGTGGGGCGTCCCAGAGGGCGTGTCCAACTGTCTGTCCATAGATGACTTGACTATTGGAAGAGGAAGCGGGGAGGGTGTCAGCTGGGATTAAGAGGAGGCCAAGCACAGCAAGAGAACCTCGCTCTAGGGACACTCCTGGCAGTGGGTTAACTAAGTGCCTTGAGAGCCCCTGGGATCCAGGCGAAGGCCAGGCCCACTGGGACTCAGCAGGATGGAGGGAGGGGTTTCCATCAGGCGCATTGGGTTCGGCGCCCTGCTGAGAGGCTGCATTTCCTCCTTGGATATATAGGTACATCGGAGTCGCTCAGGGGTCTCAAAGGATGAGCTGGGGAGCTTTTGTGAAAATGGGGGTTCTGCTTCAGTGGATGATCTGGGGTGGCAATGCCAATTAATTCTGGAGGGAGGGGACTGGAGCGGTTTGCAGTGCTGGAGGTTTGCATCTCTAAGTAGCCCCCAGATGGTGCCCAGCTGCAGGGCGCTTAGAGAGCAAGGAGTCTGGGAGAAAGAGGAGGTCTTTTACTCCAGTAAAGAGTTACAGGCCCAGAAAACCACATGGGCGATTGTCCTCTGTTCGGGAGGGCGGCTCCGAGTCAGAACTCCATGAATGCCAGCCCCACAGCAGCTAGTTAGGTGTTGGGGTGTGAGCACCCAAGGAAGACGGCCGAAAGCTACTCCCTGCCTTTCCCCTAGAATCCCTCTACATGGGGGCAACCTGCAAATGCCTGGGTTAGGTTTGCCAAGCCTAAGGCGTAGGTTCCCAACCTTATTTGACCCACTGCCACCCTTTTCAGAAACACAAAAACAAAATCCTTGACTCAGTGCCCACCTGGCAATTAAAAGCATTTGTACTCTAGCCCCGAATCCAGGGTCAGGTGCAGGATCTGCCTCGGCAGACCCCTGGAGCGTTCCAGCACACCCCCCCACCCCCACCCTGGGGAAGGCACTGCCCACCCTTTTCTCAGTGGCCTGAAAAAAGCAGCTCTGGAGACCAAGGTAGTCAGTCCAGAAAGGTCACCCCAGCCCTCCTGCCGGGCGCAGGGCGCAGGGCTGCTGGGCTTGGTGTGGGCAGAGGCAGGACCCTTCTCACCTGATCTGAAGATGGTGTCCCAGGCCTGCGTGTGGTCCTGCCAGACCTTGGTGTTGAGGCGCTTGTGCAGCTCCACCGGCGTCACCATCATCCTCCCAAACGTGCTCATCATCTGCCAGGAACACGGGCGCCTTCACTCCAGGGTCCCATCCCCAGGGGGCACCCCAGGCAGCAGCACCCTCTGCACCCCACATGGCAAGATGCCCAACCCTCTCCATCCCTCACTGCACTTTTCCTGGAAGCAATGCCTACTCCCCACCTGCACCACCCTTCCTCCATGAAAGATGGGAAATGATTTCCCACTGGAGTTCTTTCATCAAAAACCTTATGACCTAAAAGTCAAATCACACTAATAAACTATTAACCTCTCCACACACTTCAATTCCCATGAATTCCTAAACTGTAGTTATTTCTATACTAATTTCACAGGGTCTACCATCTCCATGATCACCCAACTATTAAAAATTTTTTTAATCTGAGAAAGTTCAGACTATCTTAAAACCACAGTTTACCCACCAGCCCTGAGCTGAACTCTTACTTTGACCTGGCCTATGCAAGAATAATGAGTTTATTATTCTTTGCCCACGTAAGCATAGATGCACAGATTCACATTACACTGTACAATCCACCTTCACATTAAGAGTTAGCTGCTGAGACACTGTGTGTGTGTGTGTGTGTGTGTGTGTGCGTGAGCACACCATCTGGGGGATCCAGGGTGACATCATTTTTGCAGGTCTCCACTCTAGGTTGACCAC